CCCTCCCCAGTCCACCTCATGCCCCTGACATCCCCCCCTCCAGATGCCGGACCCCTCCCTGGTCCACCTCATGCCCCTGACACTCCCCAGACGCCGGACCCCTCCCCGGTCCACCTCATGCCCCTGACACTCCCCCGACGCCGGACCCCTCCCCGGTCCACCTCACCCCACCTTCTCTGCTCTCCCTGCCAGCCGGGAGCAAGAGGGCATGGAATCAACCTCAGAGGAGGGCCAGCTGCCCCAGGTGGTGGAGGAGCTGAAGGACCTCCAGGTGGCCCCCGGCACGCGCCTGGCCAAGTTCCAGCTCAAGGTGAAAGGTGAGGAAGACAGGCCGCTGGCAGGTGCAGGCTGGGCCATCGCAGGTGCCCCCAGGGTTGAGGCCAATGTTGACCACCACCCCTTGGCCACAGGCTACCCAGCGCCCCGACTGTACTGGTTCAAAGACGGGCAGCTCCTGACGGCTTCTGAGCACATCCACATGGCAGACAGGAAGACGCTCCACACCCTGGAGGTCGTGTCGGTCACCCGTGAGGATGCTGGCCAGTATTCAGCCTACATCAGCAACGCTGTGGGCGCGGCCTACTCGTCTGCACGGCTGCTTGTCCGAGGTGGGTCCCTGGGACAGGGTGTCCACACCTGGGCCACCTCGGTCCATGGGCACCGGCTCGGTGGGGGGCATGGGGTCCATGACGCAGACCCAGGCAAGTGTGGGGACACCGTGAACAGTGCGGAGGAAGAGGCCAGCAGTTCCCATGGGAGGAGAGGTCTGTACGTCCTTGTGTCCAAAGCCCTGAGCACCTCCAGGTGCCTCCACGTCACACCTGAGCCAGCAGTGTCTGAGGGACCCAGCGCTGCCCAGACTCCCCTCTGACCTTCAGTGTGACCTTGTGTCCACTGCAGAGCGACCCCCACACTCCTGGGGCCACGGGGTGGAAGGCCTCACACTGGATCTCTGGAGCCTCGGGGTGTGCTCCCTGCATGGTCTGAGTCTAGGAATGGGGACCCCAACCCCTGCAGGTGCACGGGCCCTGGAGAGACAGGCCCCCTGGGGACATAGGCCCCCTGCGCTATAGGCCTGAGCTCTGTTTCTTGCCTCTTTCAGGCCCCAAAGATCCCGAAGAGAAGCCTGCATCGGGTGAGCCCATGGGTGGGCAGAGGGTGGGTGGGTGGGTTGCCCAAGGGCATGAGGGATACCACCTTGCAGATGGAGCAGGGTTGGGGGCAGGCTGCAGAGACCCAGGCTCCAGGCGGGATGAGGCTGGGACCTGGGGCTGGGGCTGCAGCAGGGGCCCCTAGAGGCCATGCTCCCCAGCAGGGACGGGGCTCGACATGCGGTCATCACCAGTGTTTGCCGAATCTCCAGATGTGGGCCAACAGCTGGTGCCACCCCGGTTCCTGGAAAGATTCACCTCCAAGAAAGTAAAGACAGGTTCCAGCATCACCTTCTCGGTGAAGGTGGAAGGTAAGGCTCTCCTAGCTCCCTGCCCCCACCCAGGACCCCCACCCAGGGAGCTCAGAGCAGACCTCACCATGCCCCCATGGAGGACCCCCACCCAGGGAGGCTCAGAGCAGGCCCCTCCCTGCCCCCACCCAGGACCCCACCCGGGAAGACCAGAACAGGCCCCTCCTGCCCCTGCTCAAAGCCCCCCAGGCAGATTTGAGGTGCCCGCAGCTGCGGGAGCCCCTTCCCCATGGGCTCTTGCCTCTCCCCCAGGCTCTCCGGCCCCCACGGTGCATTGGCTGCGGGAAGAGGCTGGGCGGGGCGTGCTGTGGATCGGCCGGGACTCACCAGGCTACACGGTGGCCCGCTCGGCCCAGCAGCACAGTCTGGTCCTGCTGGACGTGGGCCGACAGCACCAGGGCACCTACACCTGCCTCGCCACCAATGCCGCGGGCCAGGCCCTCTGCTCCGCCAGCCTGCACGTCTCTGGCTGTGAGTCGACGGGGGTCACTGACCCAGCAACCACCACCCCTGCCGGAGCTGGGGAGACCCCAGACACAGCCCCTGGGCCAGCTGCCAGGCTGTGTCCTGCAGGCTGTGCTCCGCGGGCGGAGGCCCTCCCCAGGCCCCCGGCCACCCTGAGCGTGTCCATCTGGGGGCTCCCTCGGGCCAGGACGTGCTGAACGGGTCCCAACCAGCACTGGCTCAGGGCTGTGGGCCGTCATCCTGGGGGCTCACTCTGTTCTCCTGACAGTGCCCAAGGAGGCGGGCGCCGCAGAGGAGCACGCGGGAGTGAAGGAGGCCCTCATCTCCACCTTCCTGCAGGGGTGAGTGCGGGGGAGCAGGCCAGCAGCAGCACTGGCCCTGGACAGGGCATCCTGTCTGGACTGCAGCCCTCTCTGAGCCTCAGTGTCCCCTTGTAAGAGGAGGGCTCCGGTGAAGGCACTCTCTCAGGACACCGCTCCCTTTAGGGCCCAAGCCGTGTCTGCACAGATGACAAAGACCACGGGGTTCGCCGCTGATATCGCCGGGCAGAGGACAGGTACAGGCTGGTTGGGAGCAGGGTGGGGGCTGACGTGCCCCTCGTGTAGGGGTGAGGCATGGAGGGGGCAGCCCCAGCTCTACAGGCCCAGAAATGACTGCTTGCCCTCCATGGGGCCTGATTCTGAGCCTTGTGGATCTGGGGACCCTGCCGGCCCTGGGCTCAGAGCTCAGAGCTGCGGGTGCCGGGTCCGGACGCAGGTGGTGGCCTCTGAGGGCTGGGTGAGGGCAGGGCAAGGGAAGGGGCGGGCAGGTGATGGGCTGCCACCATGGAGACCTCTTCCGTCCTGGATTCTCCCCCACTCCCCAGCAGGGTCCTTCTGTCCCCTTCCCACCACCCACACAGGGCCTCCCCAACCCTGGGGGATTTGTGACTTCAACGGAAATCGAGTCTGCACCATGGGCGGGAAGGGAGGGTCATGTGCTCTGCGTGCTGGTTGCCCCCCTTTGGGGTCACTTCTTGGCTGACCCCCACTCACCCAGGCAGCCCTCATGAGCCCTTAACCCGACCCTGCCAAGCTTCCGGCAGTAATGGTCTCAAGTCTGTGCCATCCTTGGCACTGCTGAGGCCGGAGCCTGGGGCAGGGCCTGGAGGGGGTACCTGGGCAAGTCTGCGAGGCACACGACCAGCTGAGCTGGGTTCTGGCCCCTAGCAGAGCCCACGGCGGTGGAGGCCCGTGGCCACCTGTCCCTGGCTGAGGTGGGCACAGAAGAGTTCCTGCAGAAGCTCACGTCCCAGATCACCGAGATCGTGTCGGCCAAGATCACGCAGGGTGAGGGCACTGCTGGCCGTGCCCCGGGAACTGGGCTGTGCCTTGTTCACGTGCCCTGGACACCACTGGGGAGGGGACAGGGGTGCAGGCCCTTCCTGGGGATCATGTGCCCTGTGTCCCCCAGCCAAGCTGCAGGTGCCTGGAGGGGACAGTGATGAGGAATCCAAGACACCATCTGCATCCCCCCGGCACGGCCGTTCCCGCCCCTCCTCCAGTGTCCAGGAGTCATCCTCAGAGTCGGAGGATGGGGACTCCCGAGGCGAGGTGCTCTGACTGGCAGGGGTGGGTAGGGCACTGGTGGGATGGGGGGCCACACGTCTCGGTGGCCATCCCCTCTGCCACCCCGTGACGGGATTTCCATCAGCAGAGAATGCTGAGCCTGTGCTGAAACTGTATGAAGTCTCAGGATGGCTTCTCACCCGAATTAATACACTGGGCACCCTGTAGCCTCAGGAGGCCTGGCTGGCTCCCACCCGGGTCCCCCGCCCCTCTGGGGTCTTTGGGGGCTGCTGGGGCCTCAGGAGGTCAGGCCAGCTCCTGCCCGGCTTCCCCCACCCGGGGTCTTTGGGGGCTGCTCAGGCCTTGGGGGGCCAGTCTAGCTCCTGCCCGGGTCCCCCGCTCCTCTAGGGTCTTTGGGGGCTGCTGGGGTCTCGGGATATCAGGCTGGCTCCCACCCAGATCTGACTCCGCATCATGCCCCCAGATCTTCGATATCTATGTGGTCACGGCTGACTACCTGCCCCTGGGGGCCGAGCCGGACGCCATCTCCCTGCGGGAGGGCCAGTACGTGGAGGTGCTGGACTCGGCCCACCCCCTGCGCTGGCTTGTACGCACCAAGCCCACCAAGTCCAGCCCCTCACGGCAAGGCTGGGTGTCCCCTGCCTACCTAGACAAGCGGCTCAAGGTACTGGATGGCTGGGCGGGGCCCCCGGGTGTGTTGTCACTGTGAGGCCAGGAGCCTAACTCCCATAGGGCAGGGCCAGAGCTGAGGCCATCTGCCACTGTCCCCCATTTTCATAGCAGCTGTCGCCCGAGTGGGGGCCCAGTGAGGCCCCCGAGTTCCCAGGGGAGGCAGTGTCTGAAGACGAATACAAGATGAGGCTGAGGTGAGGGGCTGGCAGGTGGGGCAGGAACAGCTTTGTGGTGGCAGTGGCGGGACAGAGGTGGGGCTGCCTCCCTCCACCACTTTGCCAGGCTTGCTCGGACCGTGGGTGGTGGGCTGCGCAGACTCTGGGACAAGCCCTTGCCTCTCTATTCCCTTGTCCCCGCCCAGCTCTATCATCCAGGAGCTGCTGGGCTCTGAGCAGGCCTTTGTGGGCAAGCTGCAGTTCCTGGAGCACCACATCCAGCACCTGGACCGCTGCCCGCACGTGCCCACGGCTGTGGCCAGCCAGAAGGCGGTCATCTTCCGCAACGTGCAGGACATCAGCCACTTCCACAGCAGGTGGGTAGGCAGGTGGGCCCTCAGATGTGCACACATGCATGCCAGCCACACGTGCACACTTGCTCACACACACGCCTGCATCCCCATGCACACGCCTGCACACGCCTGCACGTGTGGGCATGTGTGTACGTGTCTGCACACAGAGATGCTCATGCACACAGATACGCATGCACGCTTGCATCCCCATGCACACGCCTGCACGTGTGGGCACATGGCACATAGAGCACACGTGTCTGCACACAGATCTGCACGCACATAGACATGCGTCTACAGGCACATGCCTCCACGTGTGGCCTCAAACAGGCACATGTGTACATGGCACATGCAGCACATGGGCAAGGTTGCATGAACACACCCTTTGCTGCATGCATGCACACAGATGCTCACGCGCACAGACGCCCCCACCACCACCCCTATGGCCCCCACAGCACAGCGCACTCAGTCCCAAGCAACCACACAGCCCAGCCCTGGGCGGTAGCCTGTTTCCTCCCAGACCTGAGGCCTCGCTCTCCCCCAACTATTGTGCCCTCTGCTGTAGCTTCCAGCAGGAGCTGCAGAGCTGTGACACAGATGACGATGTGGCCATGTGCTTCATCAAGAACCAGGCAGCCTTTGAGAAGTACCTGGAGTTCCTGGTGGGCCGCGTGCAGGCCGAGTCAGCAGTGGTGGGCACGGCTGTGCAGGAGTTCTACAAGGTGCCCCCCAGCCCTGGCCCCACAGCTTACTGAGCAAAGTATAGCCCCTGGAGCCCCGTGCTTACCTTCCGTTGGTGACATAGTGGGGCAGGGGTGCGGCTGGCCGGGAGGAGCGGCGGTGTGTGTGCGCGTGTGTGTGCCTGTGCAGCGGGGCAGGGGTGCGGCCGGCCGGGGAGGAGGCAGGCACCCATGTGCCCCCTGCTGCCCCAGCCCCCCACATCTCTGGCTCTGCTGACCCTGCCCTGTCCCCCGCTGTGCCCCGCGGCACCCGCAGAAGTACACAGAGGAGGTGCTGTCTGCCGCAGACCCTTCGCAGCCGCCCCCGCCGCCCCTGCAGCACTTCCTGGAGCAGCCCGTGGAGCGGGTCCAGCAGTACCAGGCCCTGCTCAAGGTAGGGGTGCGCTCCCAGCCCCCTCCTAGGCCTGGTTGCGGGGCCGCTGGGCGGAGGCCTGACGCCGTGTCCCCCAGGAGCTGATCCGCAACAAGGCGAGGAGCGGGCAGAGCTGTGCCCTTCTGCAGCAGGCCTATGCGGTGGTGTCCGCCCTGCCGCAGCGTGCGGAGAACCGGCTGCACGTGTCGCTCATGGAGAACTACCCAGGCACGCTGGAGGCGCTGGGCGAGCCCATCCGCCAGGTCTGCGATGCTGAGATGCGGGGTGCAGGGTGCGGGGGAGCGGGCAAGGGTTTGGGCAGGGCCGCAAGCAGGGGCCGAGTGCCAGGGGCTCCGGGCTGACCGTGGGGGCGTGTTCTGGGCTGGCTGTCGAGGGGGTGTCTCGGGGCTGAATGC